AGGACAGGAAGGCCTGGCGCAATATGGTTCATGGGGTCACGAAGAGTCGGACACGACTTAACGACTAAACAACAACAAAAGCAGGACATCCAAGTTGTAACTGAAAAAGGGTGTGCATTGTGGTGCAGGGGACTTGCAATAGGGTTCTGATAAATTTAGATTAAATAGGTTCAAAATGCAAATCAACATATAAGCACAAAACTAAGTGCCAAAAAAAATAATAATCTCAGCACTCTAGCATTAAATGATTCAATAGCTAAAGGGAGCAGAGGTCATTTTGGAGCCCCCCTCTATATTCTTGTAATTGTTAACTACCCCTATGTCAGCTTCATATGATAGAGGACAAAATCGTAGAATAGATAGTTAATCAGTTCTTTTATGACTGCATTGCTTAGCAGTGCCAAACCAACCTGCTCTCCTTTCTTGACAGAGTGACATTTTTTGTTGATCAAGGGAATGTGGTAGAGATAGTGTATCTCGACCTAAGGAAAGCATTCAGTAAAGACTTCTGTGAGATCAGAGCGGAGAAAATGGCAAAATGGAGACTGGATTATGCTACCATAAGATGTATTTAGAAGTATTTGAACAATTGTACCCAACATATATACATCAATGGCTTCACATTATGCTGGAGGGAAGTGATGAATGGCACACCACAGAGCTCCATTCTAGTCCATGTACGGTTCAACATATTTATTAATTAGTTGGATGAGGGTACAGTATAGAAAATATTACTATCAAATTGGCCGCTGACACAAAGATGGGGGTGGGGAAGAGCAAATACTTTAGAGGACAATACCACAATTCAGAAGGATCTTGACAAGCTGCAACAATGGGCAGAAATCAGCCCATTATAATATAAATCAATTTATATTAAGTTACAAATAGTTTTGTAAACTCTTTGACGCTCATCAAAAAGTAAAAACATTGCCATGTCTCTTGGATTTCAGAATAATTTATTCCTGTTTGTACATTGCAGTATGATGAAAGGTAACTTAGGTTGTAACCCTGAGAGAAAATCCATCTATGTGGTCATTACGAGTCAACATTGACTTGGTAATGAAATCAAGCCCCATTGAACTTGCACATAAAAACACAAAAGTTAGTATAGATAAAAAGTAATAGGCTAACATACAATACAGGACTATATAACTTTAAGAAAATACTATGGTGTATTGAGAAAAATGAAGTACTAGCAGGAAAAAAATGAAAAAGAGCAATGGATGAAGAAAAAAAAACTTGAAGGCAAAACTGGCTAGTCACAGTTTAATAAGACTGGATTTGTAAAAAGAAATCTCTTTACCTTAGTTCTTAATCCTTATTCCTTTAACAACAAAACAGGCCAAGACAATGTAGCTTCAACAGATATAACCTGAAAAGGAACTGATTTCCACAACTTGGAATCTAAAGAATACGTAATGTCCATTAATTACTTTTCAGCGACACCCAAAGTTCTAAACTCCCTTTCTATATGCCTCATATGCTTGCAGAAATTGTAGAGTCATGGAGCGTGTGACTGAAGAGGACAAAATATACCACATTACATCCTCAGCATCAGCTAATGGAAAGAAACCCAGAGATTTTTTAATTCTTGTGTCTCAAAGGGAACCTTCTAAAACTAAGTAAGAATCAAACTTGAAAATCTTTGGGAAAGTTAAATTAAAATATCTATTTTTATTATTAATATATTTATATTCTATGGTAAATTTCTTGTGTGTCTATATGCATGGCAACAGCCTTGCTTGCATACAGAATGTCTTAACGTTTCTTAGATTCTTGGTCCCACTTTTTGGGGGAACAGAGATTCTACTGGAACTCTGATGAGCACAGGGCAACTATCACAGCAAACCAGTCTTCTGGCTATCACTGTATATTTAATTCTTCCTTTAATCATTTCCTTGGTGATGCATTCTAGAGGAATTCAGTGCCACTTTTCAAGATGCCCTCCTGAGTAGCAATAGGCATTTCTAAGGAAACATGTAGGAAGGGAGAGAGAAAAAGAAGGTAAAAAGAAGGTAGAGAGGCCCTTTTTTTAGTCTTTGCCACCAGCCTATGCTCATTGTGCAGCTTCATAAGCAAAGAAATGTATTAAAGTGTCATGCTGTGATTTTTACAATCCTCCTCTTGCCTTATGACCAAAATTATAGCCTTAAGCTAGCTGTTCCCTACATTTGTCATCCTTTGCTGGGAATTTTGGGAACTTCATTCCAACCCTTCTGGTTGGGAACTCTTCCTACATATAAGCAGCCCCATTTTTAAAAAGAAAGATATTTTGGTAGCTTAATTTTTTTGTTACTATGATCCTAACCCTACACTTATTAAATTTAGAGAACCTTACGTAATAGCTATGAAGTCAGTTGCTTTGACAGCTGTTCCGCCTGCTGATCAGAACGACCACCAAAGTGAAATCCAGTGTGCAGGATTCTTCATCTACCCCCATGAGGATTGCTCTTTGGTAAGTGGCTTGAAGTTATGTGCAGTCTGTTCATAAGTTTCAGTTTCTTCTTTTTTTCTCCCACATTGAGATGTAAAAGTAATTTAATTCAAGACAACAGTGCACCTAGCTGGGATTCTGCTTTTCAACCCAAGAAATTATTCTAATGGGGAGAGGAGAATACTGAGTGGAGTCTTTCAGTTCCCATCTATTCCTCACCAGTACTTGTTTTCTTCAAAGTTTCCATACACACACTCTCTTGTACATCAGAAACAATCAGCAAGTCCATTATGAATTAGACTCAGTTCTTGGAAGTATTTCCATTGTTTTATATAGAAGTACATTCAAAATGACAAATTATTTTCCCTTTTATCACTTTTAGAACTGTTACATAAATACCTGAGATATTTGTACTAGTTTACAGGTTACAGAAGAAAAGGGGACGATACAACTTGCAAAACGTTTTAAGTGAGAAGAGACTTAATAGCTTCCCAGGTAGCATCTGTGTGAATAAGTTGCTTTATGAGTACAGAAATATTTGAATTTCCTTTCCATATAGTTGTTCAGGTTGCAAGGTCATACCAGTGCTATATACAATTCCCCGTTGTTCAATTTTATATCCTACCTTTTCTCCAGGAGCTCATAACATCACATACCTTATTCTCTCCTCTCATGACAAAATCCTTTGATATAAGCTGGGATGAACCCTCTGTTTGATCATCAGTGAACTTTCAAATCTAAGCATAAACTTAAATTTGGGGTTCCATGGTCCTATTCCAGCAGCCTAATGAACACCATAGTGTTCTGAAAATGGAGTCCTTGGAAAGTGATTGAAATAAACATGCCTGTTGTGTTTAGAAAGAAGCCATGCACCAATATATTTAGAATGCTCCATATTTAGTACAATGTGATAATTTTAGTGTCAGTTATGGCATGGATTGAATCACAATGACCTTCTGTATATTTTAAAGGTTTCTGTCTTCATCCATGGCGCACATAATATCATGCCTTACTTTGCTGGAAATCTTACTTGTCTGTGGGAATCAATTGAAGATACAGCATCTATGTGCATCCAGTTCTTAGAATCGGAGAGCAGCAAGATGAGCTACATTTAATTAACCAATACTGTACTTGAAGATGACAAATCACTGAAATATTTATAATAAACTTTCAATCTAACAAATATTTGTAATAAACTTTCAATCTAACAAATCAATTGCCACCTACTTACTTTGAAATCGTCACAATGACAGTTGCCATATCGTCCAAGGCTACATTGAATGATGGACCATCTAACCACCTTCAAAATTTTATAAAAGTCTTCTGAATGATAAAAAAAAAACCTTGTAAATGCAATCTATAATATTATTACATTTCAAATATTATTTTAGATGCAAATGTTTATTTTAAAGTGAGCTTAAATAAATAAATTTGTTATTTATTTATTATAACATGTATGTATTAGAGGGAACATAGTCAGGACCATATATATTTCACAATCTTGCAATTGTATTTCTGTGCAAGGCATTTTGGCACAAATTTCTGTATAATGAATCAGGCGATTTAAAAAAATATGTTATTAACAAAAATGACAGATAAATATAAATTATTTTCTATTACAATATCTGATCAATAGGATAAGAATGTTTCTTTAAATAGGCTTCTCTGCTCTGCATAGTAGGAACAGAAGTATGTGAAATTATGGCAATTGATTGGTATATCCGAATCTGCAGTCTTAAGCAAATATTTTATTGAGATAGATTTAATTACTAGCACAGATTTTCCCCATTTCCCCACATCTGCAGAGTGACAAAAAATGGAAGATATGCCCACTTACAGACATGTTTAAATATCTGGTATAGTCTAGTTTTTCTCTTGAATTGTGATATTCTGCTCTTTTTATATTCTACTGTAGGAATGTAACAAAAGAGAACATTGTATATAATAAAAAGTAACAGGTACACTTCAGACCTCAGTGATTTTGCTTCTATAATAATCTTTTTTTAAAAATCATGTATTGCTATTGAGCTATTTTATTTCTGTCATAATCTTTAAAATATTTGCATGGTACCTTAACTCTAGTACACAACAACCTAAAGATTTTTCTGATTTTTTTACATTAAGGCATTCTAAATTAAGGCATTCCAAAAGGAAGAGTATGTTATTTAATTAATATACGTTCAATATATTCTAAAATAATGCTTTTTTCAATAGAAAAAAATTATAAACCCTGATACAGTTTTCAAAATGAACAAATTCATGCAGTTGGACATATCAGTTCCCATCTTTAGAACAGAGATTGAAGGGTATTTAAGATATGCTAAGTGAAAGTGAAATTGAGATTAATATAAATTTCATGATATGGAAGAAATCAAACCAGAAATTGCTTTGTTGTTTCAAAGTGTACAATATATAGCTATTTAAATTCCAGCTGATTTCAACAGGAGTTGAAGATGATGTCCCAAGAATATAATTTAAAAAACAGTTTTATTCACTAGACTATTTGAAAAGGAAGAAATGATTGAACAAAAAGCCCAAGTAATTTGTACTACGTTTCATGCTACAGTTCTGCTATTGGGAGCGAGGGAGGGAGGAATCTATGTATGCAAATATTTTTCACTTGGTTATCTTCATTTTATATCCATGGCTGGGATTTCAGAGGATACATATATTAAAAGAAGACTTAATTTTAAGGTGTATTCTATCAAAGAACTAATCTTACTTATAAACATAGAGTTGACCAAATCCTTCCTCAACTGAGTATTCCTTTTACTGAGCAAAGGCCAACTGATTATGCAATATTTGGAAAGATTTCCTTTGGGTTCAAAGCTAATGGGCCGGCCAGCCAGTCAGTTGCTGCAATAGCCTGTGGAAAGGCTCTTCTTTCCTCTCCAAGAAGTTTCCATTTAGGATAGATTTTATCACTGGATCAATACTTAGAAGACAACATGTAGTTTTGGCATCTTCAAAAACTTGCAATTTTTATTTTGAGTCATATATTGAGAAGTATTATAGAGAATAAGAATGGTCAAAAGTTAACAATCTTAGGTACTTTTGGTTTTCCTTTTTGTGGTTCAGGGATTTCTAGAACTTCTTGATAATCTGCACTCATTCCTTTGACCCACCGACCAACAGTTACTGCTCGATCTATGGGGGAAAAAAGAAGTATGAGAAGTCAACTGTCTTATATTCCGGAATATAATTCAGTAATTTGATACAGTCTTTACAAGTATGTGTTGCAACAGTGATTACATATTTTTTTATTTTTATCCATGTTAAAGTTAGATCAAATTATAATAAGCCCTCTAAAAATTCAAGTTGATTAAAAATACCAGTGTTAATACTAATACTTGCTGACATTTCCAGCCTTTACACACAATTTATAAACCAAAAGTTACAATGCTATGTATAGTCCAACCTTACTCTTCCTACTCAAAAATAAATCTGATGTAGCTTACTCCTATACCTCCAACAAACAATTTGGAACAAGAATTCCATAATGCATGGCTAATCAATTTCATGGTAATATTACTATAAAAATGATATTCCACTTCTGAAATTCTTCACTGCCAAAAAAATAATATAAAATTGTGATAGTTTTGTTCTCCAGCTGTAACAGCTGATATGTCTTGGAACATATGTAGACTTAAGTGATATCTAATGACCTGCTAAAAGTTGGATAGTTATTCAGTAGCACACTAAGCTTGCTAATATAATCAGAAACTAGTAAGGATTAGTCAGTGAGGTTTATAATTCTCTAGCCAGAGTTCATTACAGAGAAGTCAAATATACATATATTATGTATATTAATATTATGTATATTATTTATGTCTTCTAATAAACAGAAGTTCTGGAGCTCGCCACCTGAGTTTTGATTTTCCGGGCAGTCTCTTTTAAAGTGCTCCACAGATCCACAAATCCGGCAAGACCCTCCTGTAAAAGATCAAATGGAAATAATTCAATTTTACTGCAATATATATGAATTACAATCTGACATGCCTATGTTAAGTGTGCCTTTTTTTTTTTTAAACAAAGCATAAATGCAATGGGGGAGAATTGATTATAAAGTCCCCTTTCCTTTTATCTACTTATTTCAATATCCCCTCTCCATGATCTGTCCCCTACCATCATGGATACACAACATAATACACAATAAGAAAAAACACGTGAATTTTAAGATGTGTTTTACTGAATCTCAATTCCAGCCATTCTTTCCTATCGCTTGGCTATTTTAACAGCTCCACCTACTTCTTCCTCTTCCTGGGCACCTTCAGCTGCCGAAATATAAAAGAGGAAAGGGGAAAAGACTCAAGAGGAACTGGATGGAAATTCCTTCCTGATAGCTGTTTACTTTGACTCAGGAAGCTTAAATTTACTAAAATTTGTTTTCTTGAGAAGGCTGATCAAACAGATTTCTTTACGCAATTTAATTTATGCAAATTAAACCATTAATTATATTTGTTTTGTTTAAATAGGCTCCTGACATTCTACAGATATGAGTTAAAGCAATCCTGGAATGGTTGTATTACTATGAGAACTGTCAATTACTGTTCTCATCCAAAGATCTTTTATTTATTTCAAGGGCTGCAATATATATGACTATATATATTCATGGGCTACTTCTGATTCTGCATTATGTGGATTCTTCCCTTTCTATTTAGAATCTGGTGTAACCCTCATCTCCGTAAAACATGTTGCAATAAGGATGAAATAGTCGGCAGTTAAAAATGCCATGTAAATATAAAGCCTTTCCTTCTACTTCAGAATAATGTGTACTGTTCAACAGTTTTAGTCTTAACATTCTCCATTCCATTTGTTAACAGTAACACCTAACATCTCCATTCTTGAAAAATCTAAATAGAATGTACTACTGAAAGTTCACTAAAAGTTTATTTAGTTAGTGCTTTTCTTTACTAAATAACTTGCCAAAACATGTCCAGCACTTATTCTTCAAATATATTCTAAATGATGCACTAAGTAAGCACAATAAAATAATATACGGAGGTGAACCTCTAACTTTCCAACTACATCGAGACAATTTCAAAGCTTCTTATGATGCTGCAGGGTTAGACAACACGATTTGAAAAGGTAAAACCTACATGTATATTCTACTCTTCAAAGAGGATACGATGTTTTTTCTGGAATAGAGCTAACATGGCAAAAATCACTGTTGCTTTTGTGTATAGATGAAATAGAGTACAGTGGTACCTCAGGTTACGAATGCCTCTGTTAACGAACTTTTCGGGTTATGACCAGCTCCGGTCGCAAAAATTTACTCGGTCTGTGAACTCCACCTCGGGGTACGAACAGGATATGCGGCCATTTTCCCTCCTGTGACACGGTCCGCGGCCATTTTTCTGCCCCTGACATGTGGTTCGCGGCCATTTTTCCGCCCCTGACACGTGGTCGTAGGGAGGGGGACTCTTCCTCCAAGCAATAGTCGCCTCCCTGTCCTCCATGCCAGAACGGATTAACAGTAATTACATTGAACCTTATGGGGAA